TGAATTGAATGCCCAAAACTGAACTGCATATTCCAGATGAGGTTTTCTAATGATGTGTACCGGAGGAAATTATATCTCTCTCTCTGTGGTCTATACCTCTTTTAATACAAGAGAGGATTTTGCTCGCTTTAAAATTGAGTGTTTTGGCAGTTTGATGCCATTATTGCTTGTGATCATTACCATCTCCCAAATACCTTCTACCATTGATTCCCCCAGTTGTACCCCACTTGTAGTATAATGCATGCATATTCTTAACAGTTGCCACATAGTTGTCCAATACACAGTGCACTGATGTCTTTAAATTGTGACATCACTGTAAGGACGTTATTCCACTGCACAGCTTGGTGTCATCTGCAAAGACTGAAATGGGATTTTCATCCCAACCCTATATCGTACTTATAAATCCTTTTAAAAGTAAGGGTCCAAACACTAAACCTTCACTGACCGTACATCACTGACAACAAGTGTCATTAACCACGACTCTCTAAACGGGTATCTTTTAGCCATTTTCTGTCCATGGGCATACAGGCCTCCTTTGGACTTTCACCATTCATTAGGTATTGGGGAACTGTGTTAAACTGCTTTTGAAAAATTCAAGTATACCCGTCCACCGCCACCCCTCTGTCTCAAGTATACCACGATTTAAGTCTGTGACAAGTATGGCCACGTCCAAAATGTTCCACCCCTCTGTCCAAGGTTTTGCTCACCTGCTCATAGTGGAATTGGATTTCTGCTTTTATGAAACCATTGTCTGTTGCTTAAAAGGTCCATTTTTCTCCCAACAAGCCTCAGGTGTGTGATTAAACTGCATCACGTTTCCATCCATAGAATTACAAAAACCTGGTACTGAAAAGAATTCATGGTACCCCTTTTTAAATTGCACACGCTGAAGCTTCCCTGTACCTGCAGAAGCAAAACAGCCCCAAAGCATGATTGACCCTCCACCATGCTTCACAGTAGGCAAGGTGTTCTTTTCATCATAGGCCTTGTTCTTCCTCCTCCAAACATAGCGTTGATCCATGGGCCCAAACAGTTCTAATTTTGTTTCATCAGTCCACAGAACACTATCCCACAACTTTTGTGGTTTGTCCACATGGCTTTTGGCATACTGCAGTCGACTCTTCTTATTCTTTGGAGACAGCAATGGGGGTACGCCTGGGAGTTCTGGCACGGAGGCCTTCATTACGCAGTGTGCGTCTTATTGTCTGGGCTGAAACTTCTGTACCCACATCTGACAAATCTTTTCTCAGTTCCTCAGCAGTCACACGGGGACTTCTCTCCACTCTACGCTTCAGGTAGCGCACAGCAGTCGAAGTCAGCATCTTCTTTCTGCCACGACCAGGTAGCGTTTCAACAGTGCCCTTTGCCTTGAATTTGCGAATGATGCTTCCTAAGGTGTCTCTTGGTATGTTTAACATCTTTGCAATCTTCTTATAGCCATTGCCCTTCCTGTGAAGAGAAATCACCTCTTCTCTTGTCTTCCTGGACCATTCTCTTGCCTTCACCATGTTTGTAACCCACACCAGTAAATGTCTAGAAGGAGCTGAGTATCACAGTCATTTTAAAGCTGCCTAATTGGTGCTTATTATGCTTGATTGCTGCTCGGTGACATCCACAGGTGTTTTCAATACCTGATGGAAAGCACCTGTATGAACCTCTGTTCTTCAGAGTGGTAGTCTTTAAGGGTTGAATAATTGTGGCAATGAAGAAACCACATAAGAACCATTTACTACTGTATTACATAAACAATTGATGTCATTTTAGTTGCATTTGGGTAGTTACAACGTCCTTGTAGGATTTGATTCTGAATACAATTCCAAATGTACACTATAGTCCCTAACCCCTTTACAGCATTGGGGGTTGAATAATTTTGGCCACAACTGTATATCTCTCTCTCTGGAGTCTATACCTCTTTTAATACAAGAGAGGATTTTGCTCGCTTTAAAAACCACATCTTGGCATTGCATGTGATCTACCAGAACTCCCAAATCCTTCTCGACCATTGATTCCCCAGTTGTACCCCCTCTAGTATGTATAATGCATGCATATTCTTAGCCCCCTCATTTGCCACATAGTTGTCCAATTACACAGTGCACTGAGGTCGGCTTGTAAATTGAAGACATCCTGTAAGGACGTTATTCCACTGCACAGCTTGGTGTCATCTGCAAAGACTGAAATGGGATTTTCAATCCCAGACCCTATATCGTTTATAAATATATTAAAAAGTAAGGGTCCAAACACTAAACCTTCACTGACTGTACATCACTGACAATAGTAGTATGAATCATTAACCACTACTCTCTAAATATGATCTTTTAGCCAATTTTCTGTCCATTTACATACAGATTTTTCCAAACCTTGGACTTTACCTTACACATTAGCAGTGTGTGGGGAACTGTGTTAAACGCTTTTGAAAAATTCAAGTATACCAAGTCCACCGCCACCCCTCTGTCCAAGTATACCACGTCCACCGCCACCCCTCTGTCCAAGTATACCACATCCCACTGCCACCCCTCTGTCCAAGTATACCACGTCCACCACCACCCCTCTGTCCAAGGTTTTGCTCACCTCCTCATAAACAGAAATCAGATTTCTGTCTTTTATGAAACCATGCTGTCTGTTGCTTAAAATATTTTTTTCCAGCAACAACTCCTCTATGTGGTCTTTTATTAAACTCTCCAGTATCTACCCAACCATAGAAGTTACAAAAACGTGGTAAAGATTTTGACCCCTTTTTAAATATTGGCACCACATTGATCTTACGCCAATCCAGTGGTACTATGCCAGTCATTAAAGAGTCCCTAAAAATTAGAAACAATGGCTTTCAAATGACAGAGCTCAATTCTTTAAGGGCCCGTGGGTGTATGCCAACTGGTCCAGGTGCTTTATTCACCTTTATTCTGACAAAATATTTTTGGATAATATCAATTGTGAGCCAATGTGGATCATCTGGAGCTGTGTCAATACCATGCCCATTATGGACAAGAGCTCCCTCATGCTCCTTTGTATACACAGAGCTGAAGAAGGTATTTAATAAATATGCCTTTTCTTTGTCCCCAGTCACCCACTCTAGGCCATTTTGTAAAGAGCCTACATGCTCAGACTGGACCTTTTTACTATTAATATATTTGAAGAATGTTTTGGTTTTGGTCCTGTTGTCTTTTACAATCTGTCGTTCGTTTTCAATTTTTGCGGCCTATATTTCCTTTTTGCATATCCTATTACATTCTTTGTAATGTTTAAACGATGTTAGCGTTCCTTCATTGTTATATTTAATAAAAGCTCTTTTCCTATTATCTATAGCTTTTTTAACTTTGGTCATAAGCCACATAGGTTTGATTTTTAGCCTTTTAAACTTGTTGCTCATGGGAATATATTTTGCAGTGTGTTTACATACAGTCTTTTTGAAGAACTCCCGTTTCTGTGTTGTGTTCATTGATGCCAATATTCCCTCCCAGTCTAAGTCTTGGAGAGCAGCTCTCAGCCTTGAAAAATTAGCTTTCTTATAATTGAGCACTTTTATTTTCCGGTAAGTGCTTGTTGTTTACAGCTAACAATAAATGAAATCATGTTATGGTCACTGCTACCTAGATCACTTTTATATGGAAATTTGTAATAAGCTCTGCATGGTTTGAGATTGCCAGGTCCAGCAGAGCATCATTCCTAGTTGGGATTATATGAACTGTACCATAAAATTTTCCTGTAGTACAGGGCTTGAAAATGCGAGGAGAAATTCCTCTGTGGCGAGCAGCGAGCACAGATGAAGCATGGAGCAACTGCATCTGCGCTCCAAGCCTCATTGTGAAGCCGAGTTCCGGTTTACAACTTCCAGTTTCCGGCTTCTGCGGCACCGCCGCTGTGGGGACATGTGCAGGAGAGGAAGGAAGACAAGGAAAGGACGAAAAAAAAATGCCATTTAAAAAGTTACAGAAAAAGTGATTTAAAAAAGTAAAAGCGTTTAGCAAGATCCAAAGAAGAAAATAAAACAACTACAAGCACCAGCAATAACCAGTAGTCAAAAGTAAAACTTTTTTACTCTCCACTCAAATGTCCCACTCTTTTTAGCTATCAGCCAGCAAAAAATGCCAGAACAGTTTAATATGATGTTCGATATGAAAAATCTAAAATCATAATGATTTCACTTGCTTTCACTGCGCAATTACTGTGATAGCTGAAAATAAAAGTATAAATAAAAAATTGTAATGCACTAAGATCTGCTGAACAATATATCTGAAAAAAGCTATGAGAAGTTTGTACTTCTGTCAAGTACAATAACTATTAACAATATTTTTGTACTGTTTAATCTTCAAAAGCATCAGAAGCTTTAAAAATAATTTATATTATATATACGTACACTCACTGGCCACTTAATAAGGTACACCTGTTCAATTGCTTGGTAACACAAATCGCTAATCAGCCAATCACACAGCAGAAACTCAATGCATTTAGCCATGTAGATGTGGTGAACACGACTTGCTGAAGTTCAAACAAGAGCATAAGAATGAAGAAGGAAAGGGATTTAAGTGTCTTTGAGCACGGCATGGTTGTAGGTGCCAAACAGGCTGGTCTGAGTATTTCAAAAATTTCTGGCCTACTGGGATTTTCCCGCACAACCATCTCTAGGGATTACAGAGAATGGTCCAAAAAAGAGAAAATATCCAGTGAACGTCAGTTGTGTAGACAAAGATGCCTTGTTGATGTCAGAGGTCAGAGGAGAATGGGTAGACTGGTTGCTGCAACATTCAGATGGTAGGGTCAGAATTTGGCGTAAACAACATAAAAGCATGGATCCATCTTGCCTTGTATCGATGATTCAGGCTGGTGGTGTAATGGTGTGGGGGTTATTTTCTTGGCACTAGTAAGATGTACCTGATAAAGTGACAGGTGAGTGTATATTTTATAATATTTTTGTCAGTGTCCCCTTAAACCGCTTAAGGACCGTCCTACAGCAGATATACCGCTATAGGGTGGCACCTGTGCGCAGAATCACGTATATATACATGATTTTGCATTTCCGGGTAGGGGGCAAGTGCGGCCGCGAATGTCAATCACCGAGCACCTCTGACAGGGAGGAAGATTGTTTTGTTTACAAACAATCTTGCTGCCTGTGAGCTTGAGCATACTGCTCAGGATGGCTGTGTACAATACAGCCATCCTGATCAGTGTGCTTACAGTGAAGAACACACCCCCGCCCCTAGTAAAACACTCCCAGCACACAGTTAACCCTTTGATCGCCCCTCACATTAACCCCTGACCAGTGCCATCAGTACAGTGTCAGTGCTTTTTTTAGCACTGATCACTGTATTGGTGTCACTGGGGTGTCAATGACACCAAGTCAGTTCCCCCCCAGTGTCAATATGTCCGCCGCAGTCCCGCTAAAAGTTGCTGATCGCCGCCATTACTAGTAGAAAAAAAAAATCCCATTATCTATACCCCCATTTGTAAATGCTATAACTTTCACGTAAACCAATTAATTTACACGTATTGGGTTTTTTTTTTCAAAGACATGGAGCAGAATACGTTTTGGCCTAAATTTTTGACGAAATGTGATTTTTAAAATTTTTTTACTGGTCATGTTTAATAGCAAAAAATCCAAAATATTGTTTTTTTTTTTTTCAAAATTGTTGGCCTTTTTCTGCTTATAGTGCAAAAAATAAATAACGCACAGGCGATCAAATACCACCGAAATAAATCTCAATTTGTGGAAAAAAAATTATGTAAATTTCATTTGGGTGCAGCGTTGCATGACTGCGCAATTGTCAGTTAAAGTAATGCAGCTCCGTAACGCAAAAAAATGGCCTGGTCATGAAGGGGGTAAATCCTCAGGAGGGCACGTGGTTAAAGTATTTTTCCCTGCTTCTTGTTCCAATGACATGAATGCTTTTAAGACAGGAAATGAAGGAAAGCTTCCCTAACAGGTCGATAAGAAAGTGAGAAAATGTAAAATAGCTTCAGACCTTTCTCTACTCGATACTGTTAGAATGTTGGAGTTATTGGTACTTATGATGTCAGTAAGGGATATTTTCCTTCACTACCTGTCCTGATGGAATGTCAGTCCCCCAATTTATGGTCCCACTAGGACTTGACCACCACACCTGTCGTGAATATGGAGGGCCTCGGTTTAGTGTGCTAGTTTTGATTACAGAATTTAGCTTCCCAACTATACCCAAGTCTTCTGTGTCTCAGTGTCAACTATGTTTTTACTCTATTGTGCCTCCTGCATACTCAACATCTTGCAGCTTTGGCAAGAATGCTGGTCCCAACTTACCACATCTGCTGTGAAATTTCAACAGCAGGATCAACTTTAAGGGGAAACTGTACTTAGTTTAAGTCAATTGTATTTTCTTATTACGTCTATACATTTTAGACTTGTTAAAAAAAAAAAAAAATATATTATATATAACAAAGATGGCATATTTATATAGTACCTCTCTAGGGGGAGCTAGTTATTTTTTTTTTTAGTTAGGAAGGCTCAGTAGCAGCCTGGGCATGAGTCAGATAGGTCAAATTTAGGTCAGAGCTGAGGGCTTTGCAGGTCAGTTCCTTGATACCTCCCCCTGCTCTGGGAACTTGGAGAATATTCTAGAAGCAGTGGGTGGGGATAAGGAGGGGCTGGAATGCACACTTAGAGGACTCTGGCCAATCCAGCAGCAAGAGCCTTGGCATGAGACCAGGACAGCCTTTAAGTGTAAGAGAGCCTGCTCAGCAGCAGGAGAGTTTGGGTGGAAGATGAAGTGAGAGGCTGAGATGCAGGAGCCTGGGAGGGGGCCCAGTGGGAAGCGGCCTACCTCCAGGCAGAATTGCTGGAAAGGAGGATCACCCAACCTCAGGAGTCCCCTGAGAGAGGACTAACTGTACAGCAGGGAAGGAGCCAGCCCAGAGGAAGATCTGTGAGTACTCTTGCACCCCCTAGGCTTGATAAGGGAGAGGGCATTCAGGTGGGAAACCTGACTAGCCCTCATCTAGGACTATTTGATCTAAAATGACAGATTCTGGGTCCCCTTGCCCAGGGATTCACCCAGCACAGCTGGATGAGGAGAGGATTTTTCTGGGGTCCGGGTGGTACATCAGGAGAGGTCTCCAAGAGGAGTTTTGCTGTGTAAAGACTTGTATATAGTTGACAGGAAGTTGTCCTCAGTTTGCAATTCCCTTGGGCATCTCATACACCCCTCAACCCAGTCCAAGTTCAATACCCCTAATAAAGCTTAAAAAAACAAGCTCAAGGGCTATTTACTGTCTCCATAAGTCTGTGGAAAATGTGTGTTGCCTGGCTGTGCAGGACTATAGGGACCCAAACTTCAGCAACTCCTAAGAGGGTAGCGCTACATTTGTTTTACAAATAAACATTAAATACATGATGATTCTTAGAGCACTGTGGGTTAGCTAAAGCAATAAAAAAAAAACAGCAAAGACTGCAAGGAGCCTAGAATAGTGGCTGGGTAAAAAAAACTACATAATATTCATATGAAATGTTTTATAACAAACTGAATGAAGAAAAAAAAAGTCGTTCTTCATTGTGACCATAATACAATAAAAACATATGTAGAAAACCACCATACCTTCATATTGAAATACAGACATTGTTGACCCTTGCATTTCTTGTATCATCATGACTGTGGTGATTCACGTTGCAGAGCCTAGTTGCCAAAGTGGGTGCCTGGCAGCTAAACTAAAGGACTTATCTCCTGCCAGGGACTCATTACAAAGCCATTACATAGCACAAAAAAAGAGAGAGCAAAATGTACTATCTTTGATTTCAAGCTGTAATTCCAAGGTACTGAAACATTTTGTTTCTAGTTTAGATCAACTGAAATTCTTTTCTTTTTCTATTTCATATAGCTTCTCAGGCTACAGGGGACACCATATTCACAACAGCTTATCTCTCAACATGATTTTATTAAAGTGTCTGCCATGCCTTAAGCCAGTAAACCGGCATTCCTTCAAACCGTCTATGGGTAGGCTGAATGACTGATCAATCAACTTGGGTGCAACCAGCCTTCCAATTTTACATGCAATTATTGCTAGCGGCTATTATATCACTGTGTTCTCCCAGAGGGGAAAGTTCCCCCAGACCCCAAACCAGGAGAACACAATGGCTCCGAGGGAAGAATTCCCCTATCAACGCTGACTGTGTTGATGGGGAAATCGACACCTATGTTTGCAGAAAAGAAAACTGCTCCTTTTATGGCCAGCTTTATAACCATTGGGAGTCAGCAGGAGGCATATTGTGTCGGTGCCTACCTCTACCATTACAAGTACTAATATTATGATTGTATGCCCTGATTGATTATTTCAGATTGGGCCCTTTTGAGGGTATAGCTATGTAAAACATTAAAATAAATGTCTATACTGCTGATGATCCAGTAATGCACTGTCTCACCTTGCTTTGCACATGCTCAGTTTCTCTCGATTCTCTGCAGTGCATCTAAGATCAAAGGTACTCGAGGCCAATCTGTTGACAAATTGACAGATAGATTTACTGTTGGGGGAGAAAGCAACGGGAATGACACAGACTGTGCAGAGGGAACACAGATTGGGAAGAGCGAAAACAAAAGCAAAAGAGGTGACAGGACAAACTCTGCTACTTGACAGATACAAAAGAGTTAAACTTACAAGGGTAGTGTCTTATCTCTTATATTCTCTCCTTTCTCCCTCATTGCCAGCCTGTGAACTTAAGTATTATAAGCTTCTGTCAGCCTTCCTCTCTGTCTGAGCAATGGACATACAATCAAAGCTGAAAATGTACAATTTTTAATTACAGAACATGACATATAGTTTTTGGGATCAAGGACAGGGAAGAGATTTCGATAAGGAAGCAACTGCTCTGGGTTTCAACAAAATGGCGGCCCCCAGCAAGAAGAAACAGGAGCAATGCTGGAGGCAATTTACATCACACACTAATTTTAGTAGTGTAATTATTAATGTGGAATGTATGTTATTTTATTATAGAACGTTAATTGTTATCAAACTATTATGGACAAAGTTCAACTTTAAAGTGTGGACTTCCATCTTTTTTTTTCTGCTAAAGGCTTAAGTTGTGGAAAAGTTAGATATAATCAGTGTTAAAATTGATAGAGCAGATCACACAATATCTGTTTCTTGTGATTGCTTCATTTAAATATCTACAGAAAGCTTCAGTGGGGAACTAGCAGTCAATTTAGGACAACCCCAGAGCATTGCATGTTTCCAGTTTGATGTCCATCTCTAAAGGCACTTGTAAGTCCCAGCTTGTTTTATGCAGTCTGAGTGCCTTTCCTGATGATATCAAGGTCACATTTAATACAATCTCTGAAACGTGACTTCAAGGAGAAAAGCAGCCAACCACAAAACAAAACCATTTAACTGAAGTATAGTGAATGTAATTACAATGGACACATACTCTTTACCTGCCTTCCATGGGATGTAAAGAAAACATCTGCAGAGTAAATCAGACAAATAATCAACATAAACAATGCTAGACACGCAGCACTCTAGCGCAGTGCTACACTCAGGGGATTTTTTTTTTCTTCTTACCTTTCTCTGACACTATAAAGGGCCTGTAAAACCAAGGCACATATTACTGCATATCTTGATGTTACTTGTCCTTCAGATAAATCGGGGTATTATTATTATTATACAGTATTTATAAAGCGCCAATAGTTCGCTCAGCGCTGTACATTACAGAGGGGGACAGAACATGTGACAGAACAATACCAATACAATGCAAAACATGAGGGGATCGAGGGCCCTGCTCCTTGGAGCTTACAATCTAGGAGGGAGGGGATAGTGGTACAGGGGGAGATAGCTGTGGGGGATGGAGTGGTAGGAAGAGTGGAGGAGGTCGGCAGGTTAGCAGGGGGTGGGGTAGGCTTCCCTGAAGAGATGGGTTTTCAGGGTGCGCCTAAAGGAGAGGAGAGTAGGTGATAATCTGATGGGTTGGTGCAGGGAGTTCCAGAGGATGGGTGACACCCTGGAGAAGTCCTGGAGGCGGGCATGGGAGGAGGAGACCAGGGAACTAGAGAGAAGGAAGTCTTGTGAGGAGCGGAGTGTGCGTGCTGGGCGGTACTTGGATATTAGGTCAGAGATGTAGTACGGGGCAGTATGGTGGACAGCTTTGTACGTCAGTGTTAGGATTTTGAATTTGATCCGTTGCGCAATCGGAAGCCAGTGGAGGGATTGGCAGAGGGGGGTGGAGATGGAGTGGTTGGAAAGGTGAATGAGTCTGGCAGCCGTATTCAGGATCGACTGAAGCGGGGATAGCCAGCGGCGAGGCAGGCCAGTGAGGAGGGAGTTGCAGTAGTCGAGTCGTGATATGATGAGCGAGTGGATGAGCTGTTTAGTGGTTTCTGGGGTTAGGAATGTGTGGATTTTGGCGATGTTGCGGAGGTGGAGTCTGCACGAG